TGCACCCTGGCTGGCTGGTCTCATATTTCAATTTTGTTATTGTCATCTTTGGATCACACAAACTAGTGTGCTTCTTCCATAAGGATTTAGTTGACTCCTCACTTAGATGGCTGCTTGTTTGAATACAAGTCTTTAAGACCCCAGACACTATTCCAATTGATAGCTGGGCCTCATCTGCTTTCTTCACCACACTTTGCTGTAGCACCCTTATCTTCAGCGATCATTTCATGAAGGTGACTATTGAGCAAGGCCATCTTGCTCACTGTTCTTGGATTGGGGCTACAGTTAGGTGGGAGCCCAGAATCCATCTGTGTGTCCCTGCGTTATGCATGACTCTGCTTTAGTTTGGCAGTCCTTTACGCAGAGTCCTGCGGAAGTGTAAGATATCCCTCCCAGTGGCTCCTTTGCGCTGTTCTCTGTGGAGTCCCTCCTGTGTGTGCGACTCAATTGCCATTTTGCTCCAGGTCCCTCAACACTGTAACTCTTTACAGTAGTAGAAAGTCTCCTATTTCATCCTCAGAGTGGCTGGTGGTTTGGAACTGTCGCCCTTGCGTGTAGCAGCTGAACTTATAACCACTGTGCCACCAGGACTCCTGATCCCTTTTATTATATAGTGTAATATCTTCCCAAGATTCCTAGGTTAGAGAACTAGAAGAGTGTAGAATGGAGGAGAGAAAGCACTAGAATGAGATCAAGAGCTCTGCCAAAATATTTATAGTTTGAAGGCGGACCACAACCTACGGAACTTCCTTTTCAAACCCTTGATGGATTACATTACATTACATGGTTGATAGTAATCACAGTATATTATTTTACTTCATGGAACAGTGACTAGTCTAGGACTGGGCCAAATCATTGAGAATCATCCCAATTAAGTTGACACCAAAAATTAGCTATCACATCTGCTTTCTGCTTTATAAATAGGTTCATTTTATTGTAGCTGCTTTAGCAAGCTACTTTGATAACATCACCTGGTGCCCTTGCTAGCCTTTGAGATGTTTGTACATTACGTATGTTAAAATTTAAAAGGAAAATAAAATCAGATTGGCTCACTCCACCTTCATTCCAGACTCTTCGGTAGCTAAGCGTGACTGTGACTCACACATAGCTAATGAGGCTTCAGGAGAGGTTAGCTGCTACTGCCTCTTCCTTCTTCCTGCTTGGAATATATAAATTATCTTAAGGGCGGTGCCCATTAGCTAAAAAGGCAGAACAAAAATATAGAAGAAGATTGATTGTTGGAAGGACCATTAAAACCCCAATACCACTCCTGGACTACCTATCCATGTACAAATATAACAAACAAACCTCTTTCTTGTTGAACATTTCTGGTA